GAGAGAGAGAGAGAGAGAGAGAGAGAGAGAGAGAGAGAGAGAGAGAGTAAATCAGAAGGAATTGCTCACGCCTGCCTTTCTCCCACCCTCCCTTTCCTCCGGTCCATCCCCAGAGCACGTCTGCTCCATCCTGGCCTCCCTCCTGAGGAACCTGCGGAGTCAGCAAAGGACACGGCTGCTCAACAAGTTCACGGAGAACGACAGCGAGAAGGTCAGTGGTGGGGCAGCCAGAGGTGGCCAGAGCGAACCTGCCTGTGTTTAGATTAGAAGGGGAGACCCTTTGAGAGCCGTAAGGCCACCTTGTCTTCGTTGTAGCGGACGCCCATTAGTGTACATTCAAAGTGGCCGTAGAGTTTATTCTATTCTAATCAATCCGTAGAAAGAAAAGGCCAGGCTGAGCACTGGGCTTCACACTGGCACTGCCCAAGAAGGTGCCCGAAGCTTGGCAGGGCCTCCCTCCTTCCTTCCTTCCTTCTCTCGCTTCCTGCCCGTGAGGGCTGTTTTGGCCAGCGCCTGCAACCCCGAGTTCCTTCCGCCTCCCCTCTTTTGCCCAGCTGGCTTTTCCGCCCGTGTTAAAAGTATTAAGAGATTAATAGAGTTGGAAGGGACCTTATAGGTCATCTAGTCCAACCCCCCGGCCAAGTAGGAGACCCTGCACCATTCCTGACAGTCCAGTCTCTTTTGAAAGCCTCCAGGGATGAAGCTCCCACACCTTCTGAAGGCATCTTTCATGTTCCATGCGTTGATTGTTCTCCCTGTCAGGAAATTCCTCCTTATTCCCAGGTTGAATCTCTCCTTGTTCAGTTTCCAGGGTGGCTGTTTTGGCCAGCCCTGCAACCCCGAGTTTAACAGATGGTTTAACAGATTAACAGAGTGAGAAGGGACCTCGTAGGTCATCTAGTCCTACCCCCAGCCCAGTTCCTTCCGCCTTCCCTCTTTTGCCCAGCTGGCTTCTCCACCCGCCTTGAAAGCATCGCTTGATCGGAGCTCACACACAACCTGTGCAAATAACTTTGGATCGAAGTCAGTTCTGGGAAATCAGTGGCGGCAGAGTCCGACCCGAACAGCATGCGAGGGGCGCCGGGCATGTCTGCCGAGCGTATCCCAAGGTGCCCCTGGCTGGATGTCTTCTGCAAGAACGGCAATTCCTGTGCTTTTTTACAATTTTGAGCTGCTTTAATTAGAATTGATATTTCCCCCTCCCCTCAAATTTACGGAGGAGGCGGAAAAAAGGTCGGTCCATAGCTTCAGGGGCCATAAAGGGTAAGTAAAGCTGCCATGTTCAGAAGCACTCTATCAATGAGAATAGCAGTGTGCAGCAGCAGCCAAAAAAAAAAAAAGCCAATGCAACCCTAAGTTGCATTAAGAGAGGGATACAATCGAGATCAAGGGAGGTACTAATACCACTCTATAAAGCCTTAGTAAGGCCACACCTAGAGCCCTGCATCCAGTTTTGGTCACCACACTATAAAAGGGATGTGGAGACTCTAGAAAAAGTGCAGAGAAGAGCAACCAGGACGATTTATTTATTTATTTTCATTTTTATTTATTTATTGGATTTGTCAATCGCTGACAAGATAATAGATACAAGTATAAACATGAGTTGGAATACAGGATATAGGTACGAATAAACGGGGACAAAAGGACAGGGACGGTAGGCACGATGGTGCGCTTATGCACGCCCCTTGTAGACCTCTTAGGAATGGGGTGAGGTCTATAGTGGACAGGGGACTGGAGGTTAAAACATACGATGAACACTGGCAGGAACTGGGCCTGGCTAGTCTAGGGAAGAGAAGGACCAGGGGAGACAGGAGAGCAGCCTTCCAATATTTGAGGGGTTGCCATAGAGAGGAGGAAGGGGTCAAGCTATTCTCCAAGGCACCTGAAGTCCAGAGAAGGAATAATGGATGGAAACTGACCAAGGAAAGATTCAACCTGGAAATAAGGAGAAACTTTCTGACTGTGAGAACAATCAACCTATGGAACAGAAGTTGCCTTTGGAAGTTGTGGGAGCTTCATCCCTGGAGGCTTTCAAGAAGAGACTGGACTAATATCTCTCAGAAATGGTGTTGGATCTCCTGCTTGCGTAGGGGGCTGGACTAGATGACCTACAAGATCCCTTCCAACTCTGTTAATCTGTTATAACATACGATGAACGGTTGCAGGAAACGGGGCCTGGCTAGTCTAGTGAAGGACCAGGGGAGACAGGAGAGCAGCCTTCCCATAATTGAGGGGCTGCCACAGAGAGGAGGAGGAAGGGGGGGGTCATGCTTTTCTACCAAAGCACCCCAAGGCCAGACAAGAAACAATGGATGGTGTAGGGTCTCCTGCTTGGGTGTGGTGGTGGGGGTTGGACTAGATGACCTACAAGGTCCCTTCCCACTGTGTGAATCTGAAGTGAGACATGGGGAGAGCCTGCATGAAAGGGCCCCTTTTCGGCTATCCCTGGCACGCAAAAGACCCCCGCCAACCCTTTTCTCTTCCAGGTGGACAGGCTGATGGAGCTCTATTTCAAATACCTGGACGCCATGCAGGTGGCCGACAAGAAGATTGAAGGTGAAAAGCACGTAAGTCTTTTTTTCTTTTTTTCCGGCTTTGGGGGGAGCTAGAGGAGCAGCATGGCTCCACCCAACACACACACACACACAGCTCACAAAACTCAGCCATTCCAAACGCAGGGAGCCTTTGTCACTCGGGGTTGAACGGAGGGGTCCTGGCTGCTCTCTGAGCTGGGTTGTCCTCTCGTAGACGTTTCATGACCCAGCTAGGTAACACCATCCAGCGGTCCCCAACCCTGCAGGCTTGGCAACCCGGGAGGGGGAGGGGGGGGGATTGTGTGTGAGTGGCAGGCCCTCCGCGCACCACTCCATTCGTGTGAGCAGAAGCCCCCCCACTCCCCACTGGAGCTTCGTGCACGAGCGCAAGAGGTTGCGTGGCCTGGTGCTGAATGAGCCACGGCCTGGGAGTTAGGGACCCCGGATAATCAGTGCTAGAAGGAAGTGGGTTTGGCAAGGAGGAGGAGGAGGAGGAAAGAAACACTGGTTGTAATACAATCATCGTGCTGAAAGGGACCTTGGAGGTCTTCTAGTCCAGCCCCCTGCTTGAGCAGGAAACCCTATACTATTTCAGACAAATGGTTGTACAATCTCTTCTTGGAAGCACCCACAACTTCTGGTGGCAAGCTGTTCCACCGCTTAAATTGTCCTCACTGTTTGGAAGTTTCTCCTTAATTCCAGGTTTGCTTCTCTCCTTGGTTAGTTTCCATCCGTTGCTTTTTGTCTTGGTGCTTTGGGGCAGGGGGTCTCCAAATATTTGAGGGGCTGTCCCAAAGAAGAGCGGGGAGGTCCATCTATTCTCCAAAGCAGGGGTCTCCAACCTTGGCCACTTTAAGACTTGTGGACTTCAACTCCCAGAGTTCCTCAGCCAGCCATGAATGATAGAGTTGGAAGAGACCAGAAGGGTCATCTAAGTTAGGGGTCTCCAACCTTGGCAACTTTAAGGCTTGTGGACTTCAACTCCCAGAATCCCTCAGTCAGCAAAGCTTACTCTCTCGTGATCCCTTCCTCTGCAATCTCCACTTTGGTGGGTAAGAAACAGACAAGTCCGCAAGTCTTAAAGTTGCCAAGGTTGGAGACCCCTGCTTTGGAGAATAAATGGACCACCCCCCTCTTCTTTGTGGCAGCCCCTCAAATATTGGAAGACCGCTATCCTGTCACCCCTAATTTCTTCCTTTTTCTCCCCCAAACCCAATTCCTGCAACCGTTCCTGGTATGTTTTTTTTGTCTCTGGGCCTTTAATCCTCTTAGTTGCTCTTCTCTGCGCTTTTCCCAAAATCTCAACATCCTTTTTTTTGTGTAGTGCGGTGACCAAAATGGGCGGCTTGTGGTATTTTGTTGGGAGGCATGGTGGAGACGCTCATTTTCCTGCTCTTCGGGGTCGCTGCAGCGAAGGGCTGGGCCAAGGGAGCCCCGGAGGGCCAGCGGGGCAAGGCTGAAGCTTCCCAATTAAAGGCTGTTGGGCTCCCTGCTGCCTCCCTCTTTCCTCGGGGGGGGGGGGGGGGAGGAGGAGGAGGCAACCGGATCCCCCACCCCCAATCCCCAGAGGTGGAGGGCGCCAGCGGTGGCAGGCAGCACCGTTCCAGCACGGAAGGGCAACCGAGAGGCAGGCGATGGCTTAATACATTATCCTCCGTTGCGTGTGGAAATTATGCTCAGCAGGTTGATTCAATAAAATGTTCTCGCCGGGCATTTTGCATGCTAATGGCTCCTAAATGAGATGCTAATTGCGCCACCACCTCCCAAAGCAGAAATGGGATCCGGCAAGGGCAGCGGGGAGGGTGGGGGATGGGCGGGGGGGGGGGAACCGTCGTCGGCGTGAGTCACTTCCCTGGAGGATTGGGAGGCGCCTGATCGGGTGGGAGGCTGCAGGTGGCCGCAGCCAGGGCCGGAGAGGGTGGGTCAGTGGCAGCAGTGCAGGGGCTGAGAAGGCCAAGGGGGTTCGGACCCGGCTCCCCAAACACGACCAACTCTCTGTAATTAAATCAATGATTCCTTTATTAGGAGCGCCGGCAAAATGTCTCTCTTTCACACATACACACACACACACACACACACACACACACACAGAGCAGGCTAACAAGTGTGTCCGTCCGGGAGATGGACAGTTGTCTGGCACATCCATTAATCTCTGCCCACTGCCTTTGATCCCCAGAGCCAGGGTGGGGCTTTGCTAGCAGCAGTGGCTCTTCTGTCCTGAGGACCGGCCCATAGATTTCCACTGCTCTCCTCTCCTCTGCCCTCTGTGCAGCTGCATGTCAGGCATTAGACCCGGCTGTTCCTCCTCTTCCTCATCAGCCACCTCCAGACCTGGCTCTTCCGTCCCAAGGTCCGGCCCATAGATTTCCATTGCTCTCCTCTCCTCAGCCTTCTGTGCATCTGAGTGTCAGGCACTGGACGCAGCTGTTCCTCCTCTTCCTCATCAGCCACCTCCAGACCTGGCTCTTCCGTCCCAAGGTCCAGCCCATAGATTTCCACTGCTCTCCTCTCCTCTGCCCTCTGTGCAGCTGCCTGTCAGGCATTAGACCCAGCTGTTCCTCCTCTTCCTCATCAGCCGCCTCCAGACTTGGCTCTTCCGTCCCAAGGTCCGGCCCATAGATTTCCCCTGCTCTCCTCTCCTCTGCCCTCTGTGCAGCTGCGTGTCAGGCATTAGACCCGGCTGTTCCTCCTCTTCCTCATCAGCCGCCTCCAGACCTGGCTCTTCCATCCCAAGGTCCGGCCCATAGATTTCCCCTGCTCTCCTCTCCTCTGCCTTCTGTGCATCTGAGTGTCAGGCACTGGACCCAGCTGTTCCTCCTCTTCCTCATCAGCCGCCTCCAGACCTGGGGCCTGTTGACTCTCTATCTGAAGGCTGACGGAACTCTGCCTCTCTCTTTCTCTCCCTCCCTCCCCCCCTCGAGTTTCACCTCGTTTTATGACCTTTCTTGCCACCGCTGTTAAGGGAACCCCTGCGGGTGGTTTACTTAGTCGTACGGTTGTTAATGTGAATCCGGCTTTCCCCGTGGGCGTGGCTGGTCAAAAGGTCGCCCAAGGGGACCACGTGACACCCACCCACACCCCACGGGATGCTACGTCCGTCATAAATATGAACCCGTTTGCCAGGGCTCAGGATTTTGATCCCGTGACTTGCGGGGGGATGCAGAAATGGCCGTACATTGAGAACCGGTTTGCGTCATTTTCTTTTCCCAGTGCTGTTGCAACTTCGAACGGTCGCTAAATGAACGCTTGTAAGCGGAGGGAAAGAAGGGGGACCCGGAGGGAAGGCTGGGGGTCTAGCACAGCAGGGGGGGGCTGCCCGGACCTTGGGTGGGGGCCCTTGGAAACATCTCAGGGGGCCTTTCTGGGCCCTTTGGATCAGCTGCGGTTCTCCTAGGTGGGCGACCCAGGTGCCCTCCCACCTTTGGCAGGGCTGAGATGCTAAAAGGACTCTGGGAAGAGGGCAAAGAAGAGGAGGAAGGAGAATTAGGGGAGCGGAGGCTAAAACATGGCAAAGAAGGGTTGCAGGAATTGGGTAGGTCTAGTTTAATGGGGGGGGGGGGGGGAAGGACTGTCCTATAAGTCCTAATACATTTATAGGATAACAATACTGGTAGAAGTCAAAATGCTGTTGAAAATGTGAATATTGTTTGAGTTGTATTGGTGGGAAACACAATAAAAATCAATTTAAAAGAAAAGAAAAAAAAAGGACTAGGGGTGACATGATAGCATCTTCCAATATTTCAAGGGTTCCCACAAAGAAGAACGCCCCCCCCCCTTCTCCAAAGCCCCCGAAGGCAGGACAAGAAGCAACAGGTAGAAACTCACCTGGAATGAAGTGGAGTCAGAGGTTCTGGGCGCTTTTAAAGACCGGAGGCTTTTAAAAAAGAAACCGGACCGCCCTTTTTGCCTGAAATGGAATAGGGTCTCCTGCTTGAGCAGAGGGTTGGACTAGAAGACCTCCAGGGTCCCTTCCAACGCGGCTATGCAATGGGGGCTGGGGGGTTGGGTGCGTTTGCCAGCAACGCCCCCCCCCCCCGGCAGGAGGGAAGCCCTACCTTGCTGAGGGCCCCAGAGACGCCACCACGCTCTGCCTGGAAGGATGAGAAACGGCTCCAGGGGTTGCTTGCCCGCTCACTGGGCCACCCGGTCGTATAAATCAGACCCACGGCGATGCCAAGGAGATCTCAGGAGGGCAAAACAGCGCCCAGCCTGAGGCTAGCAAAAAGTCAGCTGCGGAGGGAGCTGCTGGTGGCGGTGGTGGGAGGGGAGAGGGGGTTTGCAGCTGAGGAGGGGTCGGGGAGGCCACGTTTTGCCTGGATTTGGGTCCCTAATGGGGCAGCTTCTCCCTGGCACGGCCTCCGATCCCGGTGAGCCTCCCGCCCCAGCTGTGATTCCCAGGAGTTCCTGCATTTCTTTACTTGTATTCCGTGTCGATGCCCCCATGCCGCAACTGCGGGTGGCTGGACGATAGGATCCCGAATCAGAAAGCGATGAAACCTTAGAAGAATGGAGTAGAGTGAAATTGGGAACAGAATGCAGCGGAGGAAGGGAGGGGAGGAAAGAGAATTCAGACAGGAGAGAAAGGAGGAGAGGAGAGGAGAGAAAATAGGGAGAAGAGAAGAGAAGAAGGAATAGAATGTAGAAATAGCACAGAACAGGGCTGGCGAACCTTTTCATCACCGAGTGCCGAAATGGCAGCGCACGTGGCGAAGCACCAGAAACCGGAAGAGCCAGCTCCCTGATGCACACACACGCACGCACGCACTCGCCGGGAAGCTGAGCTTCCGGTTTCTGGCGTCCATGCGCAGGCGAAGGCCAGCTGGCCGGCGTGCATGCATGAGCCGGAAACGGGAAGCTCAGCTCCCTGGGTGCAGCATCCAATGCGGGGTTTCCATTTCCGGTTTCTGGCGCTCCCGCGTGCGCAAAGACCAGCTGGCCTGCGCACCAGAACTCGGAAGAGCAACAAGCGATGCCCGGAGAGATGGTTCCACGTGCCATAGGTTGGCCATCCCAGGAATAGAATATAGAATAAATGCCTTCCCTCCTTCCAGCACTGATGACGTTATCTAGTCATGCAATGTTGCAAGAAAACAACCAAGAAAGCATCAAGGACCCCACAGTCATTGTTCTCCTCCTCCTCCTCCTCCTCCTCCTCCTCCTCCTCCAGGATGTTCCCTAGTTGGGTCATGAAACACGTGCAAGAAAAGCCACCAAGCTCAGAGAGCACCAAGGACCCCACAATTCTCCTTCCTCCTCCTCCTATCCTCCTCCTCTTCTTTTTCTTCTCCTTCCTCCTCCCATCCTCCTCCTTCTTCCTCCTCCTCCTCCTCCTCTCCACAAACCCCACTCACTCCGTTCCAGCACTGATGATCTTCCCTAGTTGGGTCATGAAATGCCTGCAAGAAAACCACCAAGCTCAGAGAGCATCAAGTTCTCCTCCTCTTCCTCCTCCTCTTCTCCATAAACCACATTCCGTTCTAGCACTGATGATCTTCCCTAGTTGGGTCATGAAATGCCTGCAAGAAAACCACCAAGCTCAGTGAGCACCAAGGACCCCACAGTTCATCTTCCTTCCTCTTCCCTGTAAACCCCCCTCCCTTCTAGCACTGATGATGTCCCCTAGTTGGGTCATGAAATGCCTGCAAGAAATCTGCCAAGCTCAGACAGCACCAAGGATCCCACAGAAATTGTAGGTTCTGAAATGAGTAGACTGACATTTGAAATTAGAGAACAAGAGGACAAACAATTTTATAAAATTTGGGACCTTTTCTGTCAATGGTTAGATAATAAAATACAATAATGGAATATGTAGAATTTTAGAAAATAATGAATATATAAAGATGTATTTCTTTTCTTTTTTTATTATTGTATTTATAAAATGTTTTTAGGATAGATTTGGGAGGATTATATGAATTGTTATAAAATAAATTAGGTAAATTATAGTTATCTCACAAAGTATGAATGAACAAAATTATAGTCAAATGATTGATTAATAATGATACTAGGGTATTCAATTTTTGATTGATAATATGAATTATTATGTAATGTAACTGTAATTGAGACTATGAAATGGATGCACAAAAAACTTGTAAACCAACCGACACACTGCTTGTACATTTATGCAAGAAAGTTGGGTGTTTTTATGTTTGGTTTGTTTTTGTTTGTCTTTAAAAACCAATAAAATTTATATATATATATATAAAAAAAGAAATTGTAGGTTCTGGTGGGTGAAGCAAGCAGAGTCCTTTGCCTCGGATCTCTGCCGCTTCAGGGGGGGTTGGACTAGAAGACCTCCAAGGTCCCTTCCAACCCCGTTATCCTGACTCTCTTCGCAGGACATGGTGCGCCGCGGGGAGATCATCGACGACGACACAGAAGAGGAGTTCTACCTGCGGCGCCTGGACGCCGGTCTCTTTGTGCTCCAGCTCATGTGCTACATCATGGCGGAGATCAGCAATGCCGGCATCCCTCAGGTAGGGCCGGCCACGCCTTCCTCCCACCCTCAAGGTTCAGCCCTCAGCTTTTTCTTTTTCTTGGAATTGATAGATAGGATTTGTTTATTTGTATCTCGCTTTTATCGTTTCTGTCAATAATTCAAGGCAGCCAATAGGTTTGACACACACTTTCTTCCGGTTTTCCCCACAACAACAACCCTTTGTGCCTAAGGCGGGACTAGAACTCCCCGTCTCCTGGTGATTGGCCCAAAGCCACCCAGCTGGCTTTCCTGCCTAAGGCGGGACTAGAACTCCCCGTCTCCTGGTGATTGGCCCAAAG